CATTGAAGATTCTCTTTGTCAATAGCTTGACTTCCCACTCAGTTTTTATAAGCATCAGTCTTGTCTAGCATGGTTTTTTTTCATTGCAAACCACATTGGTTATATGTGAATTGCCTATCATTTTTACAATCTTTGCTCAGTGAGTTTATACAATTAGTTTCTGGTAAGAGACAGACGTGGGAGTGAAAATATTTCTCCCTAACTATCGGAAAGGATTTTTTTTTTTTTTTTTTTAATACAATGCCTTTTAGCTGCAGACACCCAGCATGGACACTCACCCAGCAGGAAAAAGAGAGAACTCTCTATCTTCAATTGGGAAATGACACTTTACAATGACTTCACTTGAGCTAAAACTCTTTTATAAACTCTTTTATTGTCTCATGGAAGAGACAATACAAATAATGGACATCTGTTTAAAATGCCCACATGCCTTGGTATAGAAGGCCCTTTAGTTTAGGAGAAATGCACTTAAAATTAGTGAATGCCTCGTGATATAAAAATTTTTTTCACATGCATGTTCAGGTGTTTTGTAATGGGATGAACTTTCATTTGTAGAGCTTGATGCATTTATTTTATAATAGTAAACATTTTCATTCATGATCAAAGAACACTGTATCTCAGAAAACAGAATGATGTACCAGAGAGTAGGGGTTGAGGGTCAGCAACATGGGTGAGGGGGTCAAAGGTACAAATTTCCAGTTATAATAATTCATGGAGTCAATAACATTGTAGCACATATATTTAAAAGTTGCTAAGAGCGTAAATCTTAAAAGTTCTAATCATAAAAATATTATAACTGATAACTAGACTTATTGTGGTGATCATTTCACAATATACAGAAATAGCGAATCATTATGTAACGTCGTACACCTGAAACTAATACTATAATGTTACATGTCAATTATACCTCAATTAAAAAAAAAAAAGAACATTGTATCTGTGAAGACATGGATTTCACCAAAGCTGAAAAATTGCAGGTGGACTGTGTTAACAGCCACCAGAGGACATAGGAACTAAGAAGAAGCTGCCTTTTATTTAATTGAAATCTTAAAAACAAAAACAAAAAAAAATCTTGTGTGGTCAGGCAGTTATTGTTATCATCTGACGTAATTTTTAACTAAAGAAACGAAACAATCGATAGTGTTATAAAAGCCACTTATATTCTGAAATTGAAACAACTACTTTATGCCATAAAATTTCTGTTGCTACCTCCTTTAGTGACTGAGTAATTCGGTATGTCTCGAATGTCAACATATTTTTATTACGCAGCTAAACTTGGCTTTGCTGGATTAAATGCCATTTTAAATGGTCAGTTGGCAGCTGAGTTGAGGTTATTTTCCCATTTATGAAAGGGAAAAGATTGCAAGATACAAATGTTCTTGAAACTTACAGGTAAAGACTGTTTTCTGATAAGCCCACTTTTCATTTACCAACCAAAGAGCAGATAAACTTTCAGATCTTTTTTAGTAAATTGTTTACATAAAAGTCCCAGTGTGATGCTTCTGAAAAACCAACAGTGCTGGTTAAGCCCTTACTTGAAGAAATGGTCTGGTTCACATTTTATGAGAAATAGACTTTACCAAAACAGTAAAAGAGAAGCAACAGGAACAATGAAAGTGAAAATCCTTATGCAGATGGGCATGGAGGAGAACTTGAAGTTTGAGGTCCAGTAAAGCCTAAGCTGAGAGAACTGCCAGTATACCGCTCTCCTTGATATGGGCTGAATTCCTTTATAGCAAAATACAAAAGACAACCAGATAGTTTTATTAAATTTTATTAATATAAACACTTTAGAGAATTACATTCCCAATCCAGATGAATCCAAAGGTGTCATCAGGCCTTTTTGTGGTAAAAATGATTTAACTCTATAGAGAACAGAGTTGTTATACACAACACCCCCCTTCCTTGTTCCTCCTATTTACTGGCATTTTATGTGATAATATTTGGTTTTGGCAGATGTTTTCCAGTTGGAAGAGATTGTGGGAAATTAAAATGTATTTGCCATTTGATGGTAAAACAAAAACTGAACAATTAAACCACAGCTCAGATCTCGATTTTTCCATTTGCAGTAAAAAATGTTGCAAGACCAAAGAGGAGGCAGCGGGGAGCGGGGGGATTAAGACATTTTGCCTGTATCGCTGCTTTGTGTGGAAACTAGAGTCGTTCTCTTCCTAGAGCTAGATTGTTTTCAGTCTGCAACAGTGTGACACTGACTTCTCAAGGCGCTTTGCGATGCTAGGCTTCTTCCCCCTGCACTCTGCCCTCCCCTCCTCAGCCCACCCTCTGGCGATAGGAACACAGTGGCAGGTAGAGGTGGTGACAGAGGAAGTGGCAGGTGGGGGTGGTGATTGATAGAAGTGGCTGACCAGCTTCTGTTAGAATAGTTCAAACTCGAGGAGTATGGTGTCATTCTTTTAAGAATGCCACTTGTCCCTTTCCAAAACGTGATAAGTCACACATCACATTACTTTTTAGACACAGATAATCGAGGCAAAAAGGATACAGTAAGGGATACTAAAGATTTGTGGCCATCTTAAATTTGATGGTAGTTCCTTGAGAAATTAAGCCTCCTGGAAAATGCCACATTTTAGGCCAGTTTCTTCTACCGTGCAGAGAAAAGGCTGGATTTCGCAAAGGATGCATTAGAGTTAAACCTTGCTCTGGAAAGTCCTAAAATTTTACAAATAAATAAGTAAATGTGTGTGTGTGTGTGTGTGTGTGTGTGTGTGTGTGTGTGTATGTGTGTGTGTGTATACTACACTACACACTATACACACACACACACACATATATATGGTTAAATATATATATGGTTATATGTATGTGTATGTATGTATGTGTGTGTGTGTATACTACACTACACACTACACACACACACACATATATAAGGTTAAATATATATATGGTTATATATATGTGTATGTATGTATGTGTGTGTGTATATATATACACATATATATACATATATATGTATGTGTATGTGTATGTGTGTATATATATACCTGTTATATATATATATACCTGTTAACCAGCTTCTCTGAGAATAGAAATTGCATCGAGAAGCATGACATTGCACGAGCTTCAGAGTCACCAAAGCCTAGAATCCTATGTGTGGTCTCTCACGAGCTCTGCCCTTCGAGTACATTACCGAACCCTCTAAGCCCCAGCTTTTTTGTCCGTATAATAGGAATAACAACAGTACCTGCCTCCTCAGGTGTCACAAGGGTCAAACACAACCATGCTTGCAGAATACACAGCACAGTGATTGCAAACAGCACCAATAAATATCATTGTTGTTCCTTTTTCTTTCAGCAGAAAAAGGATGCCTGGGAGGGGAGGGTCTCAGGACAGAATTAAAGATGACGTCCCTGTGGGGCACACTCTTGGCCCCGGGGACGCACCCTTGCAGGCCGATGGACTAGTCAGATACAGAAATGCCTGAGAGCTGAGAAGGCTAAATCTCTGCCTCATGGGTGCTTTTTCTCTTCAACATTGTCTCTTCCATTTAGGATTTATACATTATGATGTTTCTATAATAGTAATAATAATAACAACAACTCATTGTTGTTATTTTCATTACTTTCTCTTTACTGGCGTTATCACTCATCCAGTAATCCTATAAAGTGAGTGTTGTTTTTCCTGTTTCTTAAATGAGGAAACAGAACAGTCGGGGAGATTTAAGAAACTTGCACACGGTGACCTGACCCAATTCCCCTTATAAATATACTCCAGAGAAAGATTGTGTCTGTTTCTCTGGGAGGTGAACGTGTGGGTTCTAAGATACTCCAAGCCTGACCCAGACCCTCCCCGCCCCAGATCTCCAAGGCCTCACCCAACATAAGGAGGTCGTCAGCACATCATAGTGCAGGCACCCTGGAGTTCAAATCCCAGGACCTCGGGCATTAGAGGATTATAAATAATGCATGTAAAGTGCCAGGCACATACATGACACTTAGTAATTAATCATTTATTCCCAGCCACACTGGTTAGTGCCTATCAAAGCGTTCAGAATCAACAGTGAACACCTGGAGGCCAGTCCAACATCAACTAGACCTAGAAAGTACCTGTCTGTCCCCACTCACCTGTCAAGACTCTGTGAGAGGGTAAACCACATACCCTTATGGCACAAACCCAAAAAGCACTAGCACAAAAGGAAGGCAAGCAGTACGTGCCAACTCATAGCTAAGAGGTGAGGCCTAGCGCAGTGCCTGGCCTACAGTAATTCGCTTAATATTTGTTGCTTAACCAAATGAGCAAACATCAGTTGTACAAGTGGGGAAAGAGATTTTTTGCCCTGGGTTTCTCTTTACCTTGAATCCATTATTATAAAAACAATTTGAAAGACCTCCACAGTGTGCTATAATGACATCTGTATTCTTTTTAAAACCATACTAGTCACAATTCCCACAGTCATGGTCACCAAGCCGTATAGTTTTTCTTTTCCCACAGCCTTTTACACATCACGCTTCTTTTCCTGCCATTTTTTTAGCCAACCCCAGTCTTCTCATCTTTATCCATTCAGTATCGCCCTCCAACGCCGAAGTCATCTTAATGGTACAGTTATACCACACTGCTCGCCCTGGAACATTAGGGCTCACTTCCTGCCTTGTCACCCTGCCAGCCGACTTTTATTGCCCACTTTCAGAGACACATTTACAGTTAGAGCTAGCTCTCTGGCTCTCCTATGGACTCTGCTCAAGTTCAAGTCATTGGTCATGACCGTGGAAAAATCACTTCCTCTCTCCAGGTCACTGTGTCCCCATCTATGGGAGGAGGCACTTGGCCTGGATGGTCTCTAAGGCCTCCACAGGTGAAAGGTCACCCTTCTCCAACACCATCCCACAGGCCTCTCTGGGCCTTGGTCTCCTCCCTGTCAAATGAGGAAGTTAGTCCATCCAAAGTAGGCAAAAGCACTTATTCAACTATTTTTCTGATTTTTGTTCTTAGTGCCTCAACAAGAAACATTTTCAACAGTGTTTTCTTGACCTTTTCCTCTGTAGACTGTAGACTGCTTTGGGATTACGTCTATCAGTTGCTTTCTGACAGCCGGTACGAAAACTTCATCCGATGGGAGGACAAAGAATCCAAAATATTCCGGATAGTGGATCCCAATGGACTGGCTCGACTGTGGGGAAACCATAAGGTAAAAGAGCACTAGATAGTCACTCTGTAAACTTGTGCCAAAATAAAGCCTTTATCCCTGGGCTGGAGGATAATTGTCTGTCTTCTGCTTCCTAAGTCTGCGCATGATTATTTAGTTTCTTCCTTACCGGACAAACAATTAGACAACAGTTGCAAAGGGAAGGAGAGAATTGAAGATGCCCCTTTCTGTTTGTTACTTTTGCCAGGTGCCAGTTAACTATCTGGTCTGACAGGGCTGAGGTCTGAGTAACCCTCACTCCCATCTCTTTGACCTGACCTGGACACCCAGGGTGTCATTAGGAACGGGGTGACAGGGAAGCACTGTGGGGCTCTCTGACACACAGGGAGCTATGAGAAGTGTCACTTCTGTTCTGCTCAGTTAGAAATTCCTATGTTCACGAAGGCCCATTTCCACATGGAAAACACAGTCTGGCTTTAAAACATCTCGCTTTAAAAGCAAACAGTGCAAGAAGTAGGATTGCCCCACAATCCTGCACACTAGGAAGAATGAAAGAATTTAATTAAAAGATAAAGTCTTTTAAAGTTAGGAAAACTGTTCAACTATGTAGGTGTAAAAAGTGGGTAAAACAACCAAAATGTCCATCAATGGGTGAATGGATAAAGTAACTGTGGTCTATGCATACGATAGAATATTATTCAGCCTTAAAAAGGGAAATTCTGCAAGATGCGACAACATAGGTGAACCTTGAGGATGTGATACTAAATGTAATGAGCTAGTCACAGAAAGACATATGCTGCCTGATTCCACTTATATGAAGTATCTAAAATAGGCAAATTCATTGGATCGAAGAGTGGATAGGTATTGCCAGGGGTTGGGAGGGGGAGAGATGGGGAGGTACTAATCAATGGGCATGAAGTTTCCACTAGGCAAATGAGTAAGTTCTGGAGATCTGCTGTACACTATTGTACCTGTAGTTAATACTGCTATATTATGCACTTAAAATTTTGTCAAGAGAATAGATCTCATGTTACATGTTCTTACCACAATACAATAAAGTAAAATAAATGGAGCAAAGAGATCCCCCACCCTCCTCAAAAAACGTTTAATAAATAAATCCGTATTCCTACTTAAAAAAAAAAAAAGAAAAGAAAAGATTCAAGATCCAGGCTTGACCAACTGGCACAGTGCTGTGGTGGCACAACGCCAGATCAGCCAGATGAGAGGGGACAGAGAGGGACACAGCCAAGCGCACTCTGCCCCGGCCTTCGAGGACCCAGTGTGCCATGACCAAATATGGCAAGGCCCACTGAGAGACACTCCAGTGTGTGAGTCACTGAGAAAAATCCCTCTGCAACTCCCACATTGTGCCATAGCACCCGGGCTTGGAACCACTATATTCTTGTTTCCACAACAGGAATTTAAACAACAAATCTCTTCCTTAAAATGACAGACCAGAAACGCTGTTTGAGAAAGGTCACTGCAACAAGAAAAGAAAAAGAAAAAGAAATTCTCTGTAGGTCAGAAAGTGAAGGATGACCCACAGATAGTGGGAACCTGCAGGAAATTCCTTGGACACAGCAGAGCACAGTTTTGGGAAAGGAACTGAGGGAGGTTGCTGTGGGATGTGCTTTCTTAGCTCAGCTCCGAGACTTCTGACAAAGGGTGATTCACTTTAGGAGAAATCTTGGAGATGACCTGTGTGAAAGCAGAGGGGTGGGGACGAATGGGCCTGGAAGGCAGCAGATTAGCAGGTAGCTTTCCCAAACTGGCACAGCCACAGGAGCAGCCAAAGAGCTTTTATTTTAATAGCTCCCCCAGAGCCTTTTCTGAGGTTCATTTCATTGTGTCTTTGTGCTTTTTTTCTCTCTTCCTCCTTTGAACAAACAGAACAGAACAAACATGACCTATGAGAAAATGTCCAGAGCCCTGCGCCACTACTACAAACTAAACATTATCAGGAAGGAGCCAGGACAAAGGCTTTTGTTCAGGTAGCACTTCCTTTTTCTCCTTTCCTTCTTTTGGGAGGATATTGTTTTCTTTAAATAAGAGGGAGGAGGGAGACTGTTAAGATCTCTACCTGCCTATTGGATACTCAAAGCCATCATTGCTACAGATCGGATGCCAGATGCTGGTTTGTTAAAATTTAAGAAAAGAAAAATTTTTTTTGTTTTACTTATGTCTGCCATATAGTAAAACCAAAACTAGATAAACACAATCTGACTCGCCTTTCAGAGAAGGCAGTGATCATATAGTATTACCTGGCGTTAACATCCAGCCTAGTTAAAGGGAGCGATCGGAGTAATATTTGAATGTCAGGGCAAGGAATTAAACCTAGACTTCCAGGTTACCAACTGAACCAGTGTTAGTCAAATAGCGATAGTGTTAATGAGTCAGTCACACCTTTTTTAAATGAAATAGAACAGAATTGATTAGGATAGGCTAGAGTTGAAAATATCAGACTATATCAAACGTAATTAAGGATGACCGCCAATTCATGAAAATTTTGTTTTGGGGTGTGTGTGTGAGAGAGAGAGAGAGATGAATCATGATGTAAAATGTAGTTACTACAGTGTATCATAATTAGAAAGCCACTGCACTAGACGTTCCTCTTCCCAGAATTCTTCACAGCTAATGAGTTCCAACCATTTAACTTACCACGTAGATTGTGATTCAAGTACTATGTAAGAGAGGAGGAAGAATTGGAAGGGGAAGAAGAAGAGATCTAAAGCACTAATCAGGGCAGGCAGAACACTGATGTTCACCGGTGGTAGTTGACGTGGTGAGACCAAGCAAAGGTTGGGAGAAAATGGGATCAAGAAACACCACCTTACGTTATAGATTTTGGCTGGTGGGACAGAAAAGAGTTACAGATGGGACTAGAGATATGGACTTGGAATTATTTATATACAGATAGAAAATGACACTGTATATGAGCAGAGGAGGTCGCTGCGATAAGTACTTACTGGAAAGAGCAGAGAACCTGAGCTGTAGCATTGGGAAGGCATGGTAATTTAGGGGTGGTAAAAACAATTGGGATCTTTAAAAGAAAGAGAAAAGGCTGTTCAAGAGATGAAAACAGAAAGGAATGAAGTAAAAAAAAAAAAAAAAACCCTTTTTCTCTGGCTCTGCTGATGCCTTCCCTTCATCCTTCTACCAGACCTAGTCCTTGGCTCCTATTCATCCTGCTCTATACTTTTTTCCCTGAGCGAATTGATCTCATTACACAGCTTGAGTTATCACCTCAATGGTGAGACTCTTATATCCCTCTATCCAGCTCGAAAAACTTCCTTAAATTCCAATTCTGAATTTCTAAGAGCTGCTTATAGGACATGTCCACTTAAATATCGCGTTAGTCTCACAGACATGAAATATAAAACCCTTTTTTCCTGGCTCTGCTGATGCTTCCCTTCATCCTTCTACCAGACCTAGTCCTTGGCTCCTATTCATCCTGCTCTATACTTTTTTTCCCTGAGCGAATTGATCTCATTACACAGCTTGAGTTATCACCTCAATGGTGAGACTCTTATATCCTTCTATCCAGCTCGAAAAACTTCCTTAAATTCCAATTCTGAATTTCTAAGAGCTGCTTATAGGACATGTCCACTTAAATATCGCGTTAGTCTCACAGACATGAAATATTTCAAGACATACACATACTAGAACTCTCCCCACACACTCCCACCCCCCAATATTTTTGTTTCTCATCAGTGGCATCATCACTGTGTTAAGCAACCAATATAACACTAGAGTTGTCTGTGACTTCCTGTGTCCAAGTCAGTCATTGTGCTGGATTGTCCACTGGCTCTCAGTACCATTCCTACTCCATTCTATGTTACAGGGGCTAATAGTCTGGGAGCCACATTTCCCAAGATTTCCTACCGGCAGGTTAGAGTCTACCAATGACAAGCACTTTCTTGAGATTTGGAAGATGAAAGAAAGGCTTCTCTGGCAATAGAGACTGATACTTAGACTTCATGATTCACACCCAGATTAATTCAACATTCTCTTTTACCTCTGGTCCACTCTCCTGCCTCCCAGATTCTTAATACACACTTCCAGCTGCCCTACTAACACTATGCCACAAACATATATCCCTTTAATTTTTGCTTTTTTAATATATATACTCTCTAGATCCATCTCAAGTCTGCTGCCCTTTATGAAGCCTTCTTCAACTGCTCAAACACACACAATCTTCTTCCATCATCGCTTGGGTTCCTGTGGCCCTAAACCACATTTTGATTCTCATTATTAATAGTTGTATGTGTGAAGTCCTCCCCACAACTAGGTCAAAAGTCCATAGAAGGTAGAAGATTATATTTTATATAGTTCTGTTTTGTACCTTATGGAGGCTTTCAATAAAAGTTTCTTGACAAGCCAGGTATGGAATATCAGAAGCTTAATATGAAAAAGTAGTCAGAAGTAGGAAGGGGTGGTTCGAAGGGCCAAATATAACATATCTGTGGACTTGGCCTAGAGGGAACTAGAGGTGACTTCAGATGTTGAGGGAGAAATTTTGGATAAGAGTAGAAGACAGACTTCAGATGCTACAGATCATATTGCTTGAGAAGTGCAGGAATAATGGGCAGGAAAGAAAAGCAGCTGTAGCTGGGAAGTTCACAGGTTTCCGATAGAGATTTTCAACGAGATAAAAGGAAAGAATAGGCCTATTAGTGAGGAGAGATTAGTCATTTTTGAGAAAATGAGTTTTGGAAGCCAGACTTGCCACAAAATGAAGGCTTCTCGGTAAAAAACCCAGCGTGTAATCAAGTGAAGTGTTAAATTGTGGGTCCTCTTTACAGGATTTCTAGGAGTTGCGGGAAGGAAGGTTTCAGGGTGGACCGGTGCCAGTAAGCAGCCCTTTGGTGATGAGGTGGAGCTCAAAGAATAGGGCTCAGAGAGTGAAAGGAGTAAAGAGGGTTGTGAATAGGGTCAAAGCTAGAGGTTTGGAGGATGGCATGGTTATGGAAGAAAGAAGACTGGCCAGACCAGAACGGAGGGCTCACGCTCATCAGCAGTGGAAACCAAGACTCTCCAGGGTAGAGATGACAGAGGCCCCAATGGGCAGGCTGGAGAGCGTGTCCTTGACTTGATAAGTGGTCATCATAGGCTTTTGAACATAAAAGGATGAGAGAAAATGGATGTTTAAGACAGTTCATCTGGTGCAGGGCAGAGTGCATGGGAAGGGAAGGGTGTGCCAGCACAGAGCGGGGCTGTGGAGAGGGCACCCCCACGGTAAGGGCAGAAGATTTGCACCCAGGCTGCCTCCTGAACTGTGTAAATCATGGTCAAAACACATCACTGAAGTTATTTCCAGGTGAACCCAATGAACAAGATAAGCCTTGCTGTGTGCACCTCGCTGCCAAGGAAGATAGACTAAAGGGAAGTAATTGCTAGCATTTTGGGCGCATCACTGATAACATGGAAAAAAAGACTCCCTTTTTGCCTTTGTGATTTCTAAAAGCACCACTAACTGGCCCAAAATTCTCCTTTCAGCATGGACTTGTATCTTTTGAGTTAAATTCAAGTTTTGAATACCATTCCCTGGACTCATGGTCCAGAATGGAAGTGGATTTATAGCTCTCATGGGTCATTATAAAATCTAACTCTAAAAATAAGTAATGCGGATAAGCGAGATGTGCCATGGTTCCCTGACATGATCATGCAGTCATGCGCTAACCAGCTCCGAGGGGTGCTCTCGGTCTCACAGTCATCCTCGCCGTTGTTTTTGTTTTTTTGTTTTTTTTTTAATAATTATTTCACCATTTTTCAGGCACTCAGGAGAAGGAGCACCTTTTTCTAATTGACATTAAGTTAGCATTAATGGCTGGGTTCAGTAGCTCTCAAGTTATATGAGGTGATAGGGCCTTTTTTTTTTTTTTAAGTTTCCAGTTCAAGGTGAAGACAACTTTAGGAAAATGTAATCTCTTTATGCCCCATTTCCTCTTCCCAAGGTTTATGAAAACCCCAGATGAAATCATGAGTGGCCGAACAGACCGTCTGGAGCACCTTGAGTCCCAGGAGCTGGATGAACAAATATACCAAGAAGATGAATGCTGAAGGCACCAGCGCACCATGTCAGCGGGCTGGCAGCCGAGAGAGCCCCTGCCCAGCGGGACTGCTGGAGGCGTGACGGAGCGAGCAGGCGGGCTGAGGAGAGTAGAAAAGGCAGAGACCCAGGAATGCGAGTGACACTTGGCTTGCATATCAGGAGGGACCCAAGAGCACCTTAGACAAACCACCCAGCAAAGGCGGGGCTGGAATTCAGGCCGAGGGCACGAGCCTGGGACTCGCGGTTCACGTTCCCCACTCATTCGGAATCTCTCCGTCTGTAATTCCTCACCCTCACCCTTCCACCTATTGTTAGTTTCATCGTTTTTGTTTTTGTTTTTGTTTTTTAAGACCATGCCATTTGACTTTTCATGATTCATCTAGGGGAAGACTACCAAGGTCGTTTTCATATGGAAATATATATCTGTTATATATATATATTTTTTGCAAATCTCACAAAAGTGCAGCAAACCCAGCTGGTCAGGAAAGAGAATACTTGCAAAAGGGTTCAGGTTCCTCTTTATCCTGCCATGTGAGTCAGGTTTGTTCCTGTTGCTGTTGGATCTTGTCTGGGAAAAAAAAAAAGAAAAAGAAAAAAATGTTTTTAAAAAAGATAAAGTGAAAAGGAGAGCTCTCTTTTTCTCTTTCTCGCTCTCCTTCCTTCCCTGCCTCCCCTCTGCCCTCCCTCCCTGCCTGCCGTTGAGCTTCAGACGCCTTCCAGCAGAGTTCAGCCTCTTGGAGAGTCTGGGGAGCAGTAGGCTCCTAAACAGAATTGGTGGCCTGGGTGCTTTGGGGCCGGCACCACTAAATCAGACCCACAGCCCGGCATTTGGCCACCTGTCTGAGGGAGGCCAAAAACATCAGAGATGGTGCTGTCCTCTAGAAAGATAAGCGCTGGTCCGGCAGGTGGCCCCTGACACAGCTGTGAGAACCCTGAAGCTCCCTGGTTCCACAGAGCGTCAGGTAAGAATGGAAGGCTATTCAAGTTGTTGAGAGGGACCCGGCACCTTGGAATCAGCTTACAGGTGCTGCAAAGTGGTAAATACAAAAAGGCCACGTAGGCCGGATGGTCCAGGAACTGGGCGAAGAATCTTCTGCAGTGGGGTCTAGAGGGTAGGGAGGCAGGAAGGGTCTTCTCCGCTCCATCTCAAAGGCCATTGTGTGGTCAGTTCCATGCCCTCACCTAATCGTTATTTTTTTTCAATTCCTAGCCTTTTTTACAGTTTCCTGGTACCCATAGGACACAGGGCATTCGAGAGGGGAGGACTCTGGAGTGTGCGGTCTCGGTTGCTACCAGTGTCTGCCCAGCCCGGGCAGATGAGAAGTTCTTCACATACATTACCATTTCCTTCTTTCTTTGCATAGCTGTGTTTCAGAATGGACTCATTCGTGGCTCTTTTTCGCCTCAAAATAAAGTCAATAGTATCTTGTAAAATGAGGGACACACCACCCCTTAGTACTTTTGATGATAACATATTTTTAGAGAGCTGTTTGGATTTGCTTTCCTTTTCTAGCCGTCTAAATTGACTTTTCCAATACAGGTTCAGAATCCAACATTAGGACTACGGTGTTTTTTTAATCCAAAAGGTTAGACCTGCCTTACAAAGCACCCTCCCCTTGTTTCTCCTCATTTTTCTCTGTTTCCTCGCCTGTCAGGTGAGCATCTCACAGCTCCCCCAGGGTACGCTTGTGACTGTAAGAGGAGGCCCTAGGTGAAGTGGCCAGACCCAGCTTCTCTTCCAGCCATTTCTAAGTTGAGTCAGGCACAGCACACAAGCACGAGGCATTCTCCCCCAGCCTCCTGGCAAGGACACCAGCCTGCAGGGAGGGAGGCACAGATGGATTGACTATGGTTTAAGGACACTGGAATTGAGGAGCTGATCAGGGCTCTTCAGTCTTGCTCTGTTCCTGCCCCTTATCAGACCACATGTAGAAACATGGAGGTAGCCAGCTCGCCCCCACTGTCATGTGCTCCCCCCCACTCTACCTTCCAGAATATTGAGCTTCCAGTGAAGTCAGGGACCTTCTGTGTGAGGCTAGGGGCTCCCATTATGAAGGGTTTGGTTTGAATTTGCTGAAATAGTGATGAAATGCAGCTGGATCCCAGCATAACACAGATGTCTTTCAAGAATGTCCAATGGCACACAGTGATACAGCCTCTATGATGACTGATGTTGTATCTCAAATGGAGAGATTAAGCCAAATACCTTGAGCGTTGTAAAAGCCATTGAGTTTAAGAACAAGAGAGAAAGGGTGGATTTTTTTTCTAAAGTCCTTTGTGTGACTGTGAAATGAAAGACAAGGGCATGATGTTACTCTTCCCTAAAATTAGGATATCTCATTCTATTCACCTTACCGAGGTATGAGGACTCAGGTTCTTTCTATTCAAAGGATTTTACAGTTGAATCATGGAGGGAAATTCCCTTTTGATCCAAGGATTTTTAAAGCAATATCCTATAAGAATATATAAGAGTTAGGATGACACTTTCAGGCACTCGAAGAAGAAATAGAATGCACAAATTCCACTGTAGTCTTTATTTCGCATCCAGGTATTACCAAGAATGATTTCTATTAATTCCCTTAACAGCAAAAGTTCTTCTCATTTGTTCTTTGAGAGAATACATGGGCAGTACCGACACCAGGAATACAGTACGTACACAATGCAGACGCCAAAGATTTCAGATTTAATTTAGCAAACCTCGTTGGAGCACCCACTAAACACTCCGAGGGATTCAAAGGTGAATCGGGCACAATCCTGTCCTCTGAGAATTTCCATTCTACCTGCAGGATCTATCCATCAAGACATTTCTCACTTCAACACTAAGTACTAGGGGTGATGAAAATTTTACCTAGGACCAAGGTAAAAGCACATCCATGATCAGAATAGTTGGTCTTTCCCTGCTGCCATTATGGAAATCCTTGACTTGCAAGATCAGAAATTAGGAAGGGAAAATGTAGAAGAGCACTGCAGAGGACAGCTTCCTCCAGCTGTGTCCAGGATGGACACACTCACTTGCACCTTGAAATTCCCTAGCATCTTCTGCTCCTTGCACCTTGAGTTAGCTAGGTTGCCTCTTCTCCATCAGAAGATGGCAGTGGCAACTGGCTGGACTGGCTCCTAAAATCTTTTGTCTAAGGTAACTTGGTCTGCCCTAAAGCAGTATCACCAATGTTCCCAGCCTTTTTGTGGGGATCCCCACAAGCAAAAGGGGAAAACAGACTGATGGATTTGCTCTATTCAACCCTCCGATCCTTTTGTCTTTTTACACTGATCCTTGTCCAAATGAGAATGTAAATTTAGCTAAAACTTAAATGACAGAATTTGCCTAAATGACTAACCACTATTTCCACCTTTCCCCACCTAGGCTCCAACTCTGAATACAGTTCTGAAACATTGACTCCCTTTTGCAGAAGGGAGTATCAGAAATGTAATACAACTTGCCCCAGGAGCAGACAACATGCCAGGGACAGAGTTAGGCTGAGATCCAGCCCAGCCATATCCCCATTTACCCATTCTCACCCAGGAAGCTGAAGATAAAAGATTTGGTGAAATTCACAAAGGGCAATTTTCTTTGCCTAAGCATTCAGTGCTAGTTAGTTTTCACCCACTCAGCCTGCTCTTCTTTGGGCAAAAACCTGGAATGAAGGGAGTGATACAAGAAAGCCAATGAGAAGAAAGGTGGGCAATAATCCCTGCCTTTCTAAAAACCACAGAAGACTAACCTGATCCTTTTGGCCCCATCTGCATCAACACTAAACAACTACAAACTCCCTGAATCTCACATATGCCAAATCTTCAAGAACATTCTTGAAGATTTCTCTTTGTGACTACAACCACCTGCAAACCAGAATGAATCTAGAATTTCTCTTTCTTGCTTTTTTTTTTCCTTTAATTTCTGATCTCTTGTTTATGAGGTGTGGGGTTTATAAGGGACTGAATCAAATGAATGTAACAAAAAGAAGAAAAAAAAAAACAAAAAAAAAAAAAGCCTTTTCTCAGGGCCAGTGAGTTGCAAATAATTTTTAAAGAAAAGCCTATAATTGCATCATCTCAATAAATTTTTTATAAAAAAAGAAAAAGTCCCAAGTCTCTGTTTTTAATAAGATGAAATGGGAGTCAGACAGGCAAGGTGTTCCAATGAGGTAAATCCTGTCTCCACTCAATTATGGTATAAAGTGCAGTCATGGTTTTTCACTGGCAGGAAGCCTCTGGCAGAGCAGTCTGCAGACAGTCTTTAGACAGGCAGCATCAGAAAGGTCAGAATCAACAGTTTAAATCTGAGTAGCTGCCACAGATGGGGAAATTTGCCAGAAGGAACCCCAATCAGAGATGTTTGGGTCCTGTGCTGTGCCAGAGACTTCAGTTCACTGTGGACTAAGGCAATTCCAAGAGTTAAAGGACCTTGGGTCTTTTTCCAGTGTAACTGCTCCTTTATTCTACTGAAGTCATGGCTGTGAGCCTATAGGTGACGAGGACAAAAATGTAGGTCAAGCCCATAACTATACACAGGACATAATGACCCGGAAGGTTATCTGACAGCTCAGAACTGGCCCCATGCTCAGAATGTCAGCCACACTGGCCAGTGGAACCACCTGCCATCCAGCAGGTGCTTATGATTTCAACACCGAGCATCCTGCAGTCGATCAGAATTATTCTATCCCTCTGCCATCAGAGGTGGGTAGAAACTAAGAGAAGCAAATTACATTGTTATCTACTCAGATGTAGTTTGGAAAGCAGAAGTTTGAAATCAATGATCTCAGAGAATGTTGTTAGATTATTTCTGTATTTAAATTGTCCCAGGTACTCTGTCTCCCATGATCATGGATTACTGAAATTTGGCCCTATATTCTATATCATCAGAGTACACCATCAAGTAATAAGGGTCTAGATATTTCCTGCAGTGCTAAAAATGCCCTGAAGCTACTATTTCTATAACCCAGCATTAATATCATCTGGGAATTACTAGAAATGTGAAGTATCAGTTCTCACCTAAAGTGAATCAAAAACTTTGGCTATGGGTCTTAGCAATCTGTTTTAACAAGCTCTCTGGGTGATTCTGAGGCATGCTGAAGTTTGGAAACCACTGCTAGCATCAATTTATTCATTTTAGTATGAAAAAGAGTACATGGCCATATAAACAGTAAGTACACAGAATAATTGGTGACAACTAATTTGCATTAATAATACACGCAATCATGCTGCATTTTCCTAATACTAGATAAACTATGGAATGAGGCTAAATAGACACAGAATCACATGCCAATATCTCTTTTTGCTTCTTCCAAATGTTTTAAGCAGTCCATTTGCTATTAAAAGGAACCGTTTTAAAAGATAACTCGGAAGTTGACCCGCCCTTGCAAATTAGAGCGTAGCAATTTATTCACCTATGCCCATTTATCTACCTAACTAGCCTAATCGAAAAATGAAAGGATCATTCTCATCTGCTGACTGACCTTGGCTATCTGTTCCTGAAATAGCTGAGCCTAGTTGACCACTTAGCCAGGATATCTGCAGGGGACTCCAGGACCACTGGACTAGACCAGTGCTTCTCAAACCTGAAAAGTGCTTGAGAATCACCTGGTGATCTTGGTAAAAAGCAGATTTTGCCCATATTATCAGCCTCTTGGGAAGTATGAACAGATCTGCTCTTCTGCTCTAGTCTCTGGAGGAGGCTTGAAATGCAACATTTCTAGCAAGTACCCCAGTGATTTGCTGTTGCGGGTCCTCAGACCACACTTTGAGCAAGAGACTGATGCTCTCCCTTCGAGACCTGAGATTCTGATCTGAATGCAAAACTGAGCTAGCCTCTCTCCTAGATGTGTTCCTTTGCCAGATCCTCCCTAGAATAGTTCCCGGGGCCAGTCCTGCTTTGCAAGAAGTTGGCTTGTTCTCCTTTTAGGGCAGCAACAAGAATAAACATGATCAAAAGCCTCTTCGCCGAATGAAGGAACAGCTGTTCTTGTAATGGAACTGCCTACTAGTGCTCATGGTCCCTGTGCTTACGGGAGGGAATGCCTCTCCTTCGGCCTACGTGGCCCAGTCCTGATCACTGTAAGCAGAGAGAAAGCCAACAATGCCATTCTCCCTGTTGCAAAGAACAGCACGATAGGTGATCAGCGTTTCCATCCAAACTAAGTTATTGATATGAAAAGGAAACAATCTTGAGGCAGTGTGCTCACTGTCTGTACTTACAGATTCTTTTTTGTTGTTGTTTTTTTTAAGGACCTCAGTCCTGCTGGATTGGAGAGTCCTGCTAGTAAAAATCACCGAGTAAATTCTGCCTAGAATAAATTCTGCCTACTCTCTTTCAAGAAAGGAGAAAGCTATTCTCTCTCTCCCCAGATCCTCTCAGCGCCACTCTTCTGGAGTCCTGTGAGGGGTCTGTGTGACTTTCCCTCAACCACAGTTTTGGTCATGAGAGTCCATATCAGACCACCTGAGTTGACCTTTGCTTCCTCCCCTGGTTCCATTAGCCCTTACACATTCCCTCCTCAGTGTCCCAACTGCAAATTCTTCTTAAAACAACTTAAAGCCTCCTTCGGTGGATTGCTCACGTGCCTCTGTCTCCTCCTGGAGCTCTCAGAGGGAGGAGTTTATGCACTGTTATAGGACTGGCCCCTTGCATGGTGCCTGGCATAAGCATATGTTAATAAGTGTTTTGAATGAAGGAGTAAAGTCCAGGAGACTTTTGTGACCTCAGGTTACACAAAGATTCCCTAAGTGTGACACCAAAAACACAATCCATAAAAGAAAAAAACCCGACAAATTAGACTTTATTGAAATTAAAAATTGTTCTTCCAAAGATACCATTAAGAAAATGAAAAGACAAACTACAGACTGGGAGAAAAGGCAACTCTTTTATGTACAAAATAAGAAATTTATTACATGCACTGAACATAGTTTTACTTCAACTAAAACTATCTTGAAAAATAGATATCTTTCCATTCATAAGTAATGTTAGTTACTCACACATAAAAGAGATATATTACATGTCTACTATAATAAAACCATCTTCAAATTGCATTTAAAATTTTTTTCTTCTTCTGTCATGCTTGCAAAACACTTTTCACTGTTCTGTAGTTCATAGTCTTACTTCACTTCCCTTTTGTGAATTTCTGAAGTAGGCAGCCTCTTGGAAGGCATATTAAAAGGTTTTTTAATTAGATAATAATATAAAATCATTCATTTCCAGTAAACAGCATTACTCGCTGAATCATCTGGCCTCAGAACTTCAGCCTATTACAACGATAGGCAACGCAGCACTTAAAAAAAATTTTTTTTATTCACTTGTAATTTATATAACTTCCAATTTTACAAATTTGATCCCATTTACCCCATCTACCGCCCTCCTCCCCCCTCACCCTCACCCTCTGGTAACCACTAGTCTATCGTCCATCCCTATGAGGCCCACAGTTTTAGACAATGGGCCTCAGAGGTGGAGAAAATCCTACAATATCCAGGCATGACCTGCTATGTCAGGAGCAAAACTGTCATCAGAACTAGGGCAGTACTCAAAAGGATGTTGGTTTTGTCCACCTGACGGTTCTGTCTGCTTGGGCTTCAATGTCCAACTTCCATTCTGCCAGTCACATCAGGAATCTCCAGTAGAGTCCTGAGTTATTGGTGCCAAGTTTAGTCCATTTTGATTTCACGTCCTTTACATAGACCGGTACCCTAGCCAGCTGGCCTGAGAAAGCAACAGAGTGGTTAAACCAGTGCGCTCTTAGTCAGAACACCTGGATGCAAATCCCAAACTTCCCCTCACTAGCTATATGACTTCAGGCAATTTACTTAACTTCTTTGTGCCTCTGGTTACCTCAAAAGTAAAATCAGGATGATGATAATAATAGTTTCTACTTCAAAAAAATGGTCGCGACCAGTAGATGAGTTATTACAGAGAAAGGGCTTAGGAAAATGCACGGAACAGTAAATACTACCCTTTATTATTTTTATACTTTTCTCTGGATCTACTGAGCCACCAACTGCTGCTTCACCCAAGAGCTGCTCTGCTTTTATCAGTTCTAGACATCAGATTCCCCCTAAAAGATAATTCTTTAAAAGTTTCCACAGCTTCTGTTTTATTTTGTTTTCGTTCCAACGCTGTGAAACAAGTGCAGCCCCATCACTTTGCAGATGACGAGTCAGAGGCCGGACCAGGTGAGGGCTACCTGAGCCCTCCTGAACTCCACGGCTCCCTGAGCTAGGGCTCCCAGCCTGGTGTTTTCTGTGAGCCAACGTCTCAGCCTCATGGAGCACCTGAGCACTCAGTGATATGTACTTGGAGCAATGAACTCAACCCAAGGGAAATATTGGCTCGATTCAGGTTTACTGAGAATATTTTGATCTGGTTTTGTTCCAGTTCGAAGGCCTTAGGAAATGTATAGGTTTTGTTCTATTTAATATTGGTTTGCAAGGTTTCTTGATTTTGTTTGCTCCTTCCTGTTGAGGAAGTCCTGGCCCAGCTCACATGTACACAAAACAATGTTATTTGGGTTCAATTTGGGGACTGGGAAATTAGAATGTTACTTTAGTCCTAGGAGTATGGCCATTTGGGAAACCAGGAGGTCCAGCCACGAGACATTCCTGACCAACGTGCTCACGCCGGACTCCTGCTTTCCTTTCAGAAAAGGGAAAAGTGTGCATGACCAGATTGAAACTACCTTCTTTCCTGTCAAGATGAATTTTCATACACAGCAGTAGGAGGAACAGCAGCCATACTGGGTTCTAGTCCCATCTAAACACTATCTCAAACAATTCACCGAAGGGTTGGGCCTCGGTTGCTTGGAAAATTATTTTCCTTCAAAGCGCTGTCGAAATGATTCAGTGAAGAAAATCATATAACAATCCTAACACATACATGCATATTAAGTCCCTTCCCTCTTTCCTGCCTGCCAAACCGCCCACATTCGCACTGCCCTTCCAGCACTAAATTTCTTTGCTTCTGAGTCTATAGAATTCCAAGTGGGAAAATCACCACAACTGCTGAGAGATGTGAGGCCTTTTGTTTCTAATCAAC